TAAAGTTCTACTGGAATACAGTCACACGCATTCACTGATATACTGTCTATGGCTGCTTCTGCACTACAAAGTAGAATTGAGTAGTTGTGACGGAAACCATATAGCTGATAAAACTGAAAATATTTACTATCTGGCCCTTTACTGAATAACTTGTCCAAACCTTGCCCTAGTTACATATATGCAATATATCAACAATATAAATAAGCAATTATTTTTTAAATGATAATATCTTATGAAGTGTAAAGAATAAAAGATAGAATTACATATACAATAATAATAACTGGTTAATCTGGAGAGGATGATTAAAGTATTTTAAGGCTTACAGCCAAAGCAATCAAGCAAGGAAAAGAAATAAAAGGGATCTAAATTAGAAAAGAAGTGAAACAGTCATTATTTGTAGATGAGATTTTTTTTTAAAAGATTTTATTTTTTCCTTTTTCTCCCCAAGTCTCACCAGTACATAGTTGTATATTCTTCGTTGTGGGTCCTTCTAGTTGTGGCATGTGGGACACTGCCTCAGCGTGGCTTGGTGAGCAGTGCCATGTCCACGCCCAGGATTCGAACCAACGAAACACTGGGCCACCTGTACCAGAGCATGCGAACTTAACCACTCGACCATGGGGCCAGCCCCAGATGTGATTTTATATACATAGAAACTTTTCAAAAGAACAAATGAATAGAGGATACAAAGTCAACATACAAAAATCAATTGAGTTTCTATACACTAACAACAAAGAGGCAGAAAGAGAAATTAAAATACAATCCTATTTACAATTGCAACAAAAAGAATAAAATACCTAGGAATAAACTTAACCAAAGAGGGGAAAGATCTGCACACTGAAAACTATAAAAGATTGTTGAAAGAAACTGAAGTAGACACAAAGAAATGGAAAGATATTCTGTCTCTTAGACTGGAAGAATTAACATAGTTAAAATGTCCATACTTCCCAAAGCAATCTACAGATTCAATGATATCCCTATCAACGTTTCAATGACATTTTTCACAGAAATAGAACAAAAAATCCTAAAATGTATATGGAACAACAAAAGACCACAAATAACCAAAGCAATCCTGAGAAAAAGGAACAAAGATGGAGGTATCACACTCCCTGATCTCAAAATATACTACAAAGCCATACTAACCAAAACAGCATGGTGCTGGCACAAAAACAGACACACAGATCAACGGAACAGAATCGAGAGCCCAGAAATAAACGCACACGTCTATGAACAGCTAATTTCGACAAGGAGCCAAGAACATACAATGGAGAAAGGAAAGTCTTTTCGATAAATGGTGTTGTGAAAACTGGACAGCCACATCCAAAAGAATGAAAGCAGACCATTACCTTACACCATACACAAAAATTAACTCAAAATGGATTAAAGACTTGTACATAAGAACTGAAACCATGAAACTTGTAGAAGAAAACATAGGCAGTAGACTCTTCAATATGGGTCTTAACACCATATTTTCAAGTACCATGCCTGTTTGGGCAAGAGAAACAATATAAAACATAAACAAATGGGACTACAGCAAACGAAAAAACTTCTTAACAGCAAAGGAAACCATAAACAAAACAAAAAGACAACCTAAGAATTGGGAGAAGATATTTGCAAATCATACATCAGATAACAGGTTACTATCCAAAATATACAAAGAACTCATACACCTCAACAACAAAAAAACTAACAATCCAATTAAAAAATGGACAAAAGATCTAAGCAGATATTTCTCCAAAGATATACAGATGGACAACAGGCAAGTGAAAGGGTGTTCAACATCATTAACTATCAGAGAAATGCAAATCAAAACAACAATAAGATAGCACCTCACTCCCATGAGAATGGCTATAATTAACAAGACAGGAAACAAAAGTGTTAGAGAGGATATGGAGAGAAGGGAATCCTCATACACTGCTGGTGAGAGTGCAAGATGGTGCAGCCACTATGGAAAACAGTATGGAGACTCCTCAAAAAATTAAGAACAGATCTACCATATGATCCAACTATTCCGTGGCTGGGTATTTATCCAAAGAACATGAAAACGCAAATGCATAAAGATACATGTACCCATATGTTCAGTGCAGCATTATTCACAATAGCCAAGACTTGGAACCAACCTAGGTGCCCATCAAGAGACAAATGGATAAAGATGTGGTATATACACACAATGGAACACTACTTGGCTGTAAGAAAGAATGAAATCCAGCCTTTTATGACAATATGGATGGACCTTGAGGGTATTATGCTAAGTGAAATAAGTCAGAGGGAGAAAGTCAAATATGATCTCACTTATAAGTAGAAGATACAAACAACGACAAACAACCACATAAAGACAGAGATTGGATTGGTGGTTAACAGAGGGGAAGAGAGGAGCAGGGAGGGCAAAAGTGGTGATTTAGGCACATGTGTGTAGTGATGGATGGTCATTAGTCTTTGGGTGGTGAACATGATGTAATCTATGCAGAAATCAAAATATACAACGATGTACACCTGAGATTTATATAATGTTATAAACCAATGTTACCGCAATAAAAAAAATAATAATAACTGGTTAATCTGGAGAGGATAATTAAAGTCTTTTAAGGCTTGTGTGCTGTTCAGGAGCAGAGTAAATAAAGTAAATGTGCATCTTAATATTTCCAGGACCAGAGTTTATTTTGTGGAAAGAGCATTAATTTCTAAAACTAAAAAAAACAGAATAGTGAGTAATTTCCAATATAGCAGGGGAAAAACTGGAATTAAAAATATACTATGAAAGAAACAATCAAGATAATGAAAAGATAACCCGTAGAATGGGAGAAAAAAATTTGCAAATCACATTTCTAATAAGGGTCTAATATCCAGAATATATAAAGAATTTCTACAACTCAACAAGAGGAAGACAAATAACCCAACTAAAAATTGGGCGAAGGATTTGAGTAGAAAAAGAAAATACAAAATAAGGTCCATAAACGGCCAACGAGCACATGAAAAGATGCTCAACATCATTAGACATACAGGAAATTCAAAACAAAACTAAAAGATACCACGTCAAACCCACTGGGATGGTTAGAATCAAACGACAGACAAAAACATATAGTGACACAGATGTGCATAAATTATAACCTTCATACATTGACGTAGGACTGTAAAATGGCAAGGACATTTTGGAAAACAATCTGTTAATTCCTCAAAATCCTAACCACAGAGTTACCACATGACCCAAAATCTCTACTCCTAGGTATATATCTAAGAGACATTAAAACATACATCCATGAAAAACATGCACAGGAATGATCATAGCAGCATTATTCAAAAAAGCCAAAAAGTGGAAATGACTCAAATGTCCATCAACTGATGAATGGATAAAGAAAATGTGGTATATCCACAAAATGGATTATTATTCAGCCATAAAAAGGAATGAAGACATACATGCTATAATAAAAATCAACCTTGAAAATACTGTGGTTAAGTGAAAGAAGGCAGTCATGAAAGACCACATATTGTGGTATTCCATTCATATGAAATATGTAGAATAGGCAAATTCATAAAGAGAGGAAGATTACTGGTTACTAGGGGCTGAGGAGAAGGGGGAATGAGGAGTAACTGCTAACAGTCTAACAGTTGTTTGAAGGGCAACAAATAAAACCAGTCTAACATTTAATAGTGGTGATGGTTGCACAAAACTGTAAATATACTAAAAGTTATCTAATCGTATATCTTAAAAGGAAGAATTTTATAATATACAAGTTAGATCCTAAAAAGTTACTATACAAATATTGAGTTTTAACAAAAAATCAAGGTAGAGACCATTTTAATCTCACAAAAATTATTCCAAAGTTAAAACAACAAAAAAAGAGGGAGAACCCCTCAGCTCACTTTATGAGGTCAGCATATCCTTAATATGATACACAGTGCAATTGTGATAATAAAGAATTCCCTATAACCAAAAGTGAATAGCAAAAAATGGATATGTCCAATATGCTAGAGAAAGGATCCTTGCACCAAGGATCACACAAGAAGAATTCTAAGTAAGTTCCTTCCAAACCTTAGAATTCTACGATTTTATGATAATGTTATTCATATTATTAAATATTAATATTAATTTCTGGCAGTAAAATCACGTTTACTTCTGACAAATCTAGGAAAACTAGATTTCAATGTAAATTTCAACACAGAGAAAAGGAGAGAGAAATAAACATAAAGCCAAAGTTAAGAGTTGTGCAGACTGTATCTGCTTTTCAATAACAGTGTGCAATAATCTGAATGATATCAGGATTCAAATACTTACATCATAATAATATGAACAAGGTGTTGACCTGTTTAGCACTGTCAAAAATTTGAGCCTTGTTATTAAAATATAGATTCACATTATTTATTTTGCGACTCAAAACTTCTCCAGGTTCACATATTGTTTGAAATGAATATGTCAAAGTTCAAAAGGGTATGAATTTGCAACTGAAAACACTGCAATATTAGAAATCAAGTATATATATTAAAGAAAGAGTCATGGCTCCAGTTTTCACATAATTACTTACTTTATTTAAATAAATGAGAAATCTAGAAATATACTATGCTTGATGTAAATAATATAATTATTTGATTATTTATATACGTTATAATACATCCACTCATAACTCAAGTGGCTTAAATTAAAATCTACATATAATTCTTCGTTCAGCCTAATACAAACATCTGAACCCAACTTTCTTCCAAACAATTTTATCTATGTTTAGCATTTTAGTAATTGTTCTATGTTGCACATGATCTTTTATAGATAGTCTTCATTTATATACAGATATGAATATGATTAAAAGGTGTGGATGTCAATAAACAGCATCACTTAGTTCACTTACATTTAGGTCTCTCCTTTTAGATCTACTTTGTGGATCACTTAGTTCATTTTCATGTAGAGCTTTCAAGGAGAAGACTGATTTACAGATGCATTGGCATATTATTAATAGTAAAACTATCAATACAAAATATAATAACCACAGGAAGAATTTTTTTAAATGTACCTTCTTCAAGAATGGGTCGTGGGATGACAAAAGGAATCTCCTGCAGGGGTTCCATATACTTGTGGCCAGCACTAATAATCTTTATTTGAGGCAAACAGAGGACAAGTGTTCCTGGCATGCTGGTTTGTCCGTGGTACCAGCTTCTCACTGTTCCAGGAATGTCACCAGATACAATTGTACTCGGGGAAGGCAGGCTATTGTTTGGAATGAAGACACAACAAGATTGTACTTCAAGCTAGAAAAGAAAAGCAGAATTAAAATATTTCGATCAGACTTCATTTGAGAGTAAACATACCCTCAAATACTTAATATCTTTACGAGAACAAACAGGCAAGCCAAAAAAGAAAATGTCCCATACTTGTGTCTCTACGAGTTACTTTTACCAAAGAACACAACAAATACTTTAAAAGGTGTTGTTTCTTGCTATGAATTTGATCAAAAGAGCACAGTGACTTGAGAAGAAAACATATCTGCCTTTCCATAGTTCTTTCCAAGAAATAGGATTGAGTTAGAAAATGTGCTGGCAAAACAAGGTGAGAAAATCCTCCTCCTTTCGCAGTTCATTAGATTTTGTTAACACCAGCTAAGGCCTTAGAACTGACTAGCATTTTATTGCCTTTCCTTAAAAAAAAAAAAAAAAAAAAAAAAGCAAAACAAAAAAACCCCATAAACAGCTATTTCCACACGAATTTGGATCTTCCTTTTTCACCTTATAGACTAAAATAGAAGAAAAAAATGTTTAACATGTTCAGATTATATCTCTAGACAAACAGTAAAGGAGAACATGTTTATGTTACCTACTTTCTCTTTTTTATATACATGTATATTAAGATTTAAATGTGTATGTGTATGTGTGAATATATATACATATATACAAGGTTCGCTGTATTTAAACAGATGTATGGTAATGAAGGTAATTCAGAAGACAAAAATCAGTGTTATTCCTTGCTTTTATCATGCTTCAAATTATTACCTAAATTGTGGTTTCATGCGAAAGTTTTATGTTTCCCTATCCCCAGTGTAATAACTTAGGTTGCCAGGCCCTTACAGAGTTAAAATAAGACTACTCAAGACCAAATCAAAAACTGAATCCATTAAGAGTTCTTAGTTCAAAACCAATGTAGGTTAAAGTCTATTAGTCTTCGTTGGCTTTTACAAGGTAACAGTCTATACCTGGCTAGTAAAGTGCCCAAACAGCCTACCACACTTGAATTATTTTTAAAAAAATAAGAAATATTTGGCATACAAACGTATTATGTGAAAGTGTAATAAAAACTAAAATTTGTTTGCCTGATAAATGCTTGGATATTCTAGCAAACTATATTCCTTAGTGAGACCTTAATACGTAACAGGTCTGGAATTCCTTGAAACAATAAATAATTTGCCAGCCGTATAAATAAGCAACTATTCATCTTTGCTTCAACATGGCTCTGCATAGACAAACTTCTGAATTCAGTGAAAATAATCTAAGTAAAATTCTGCAAAAATAAATACACTGGTTCATAGAGTATGAACTCACTTTTTAGTTCTACAATTTTATCTCGCAGCTTAGATAATTTAAGCATGTATACGCTAAAAAATTCATTGATCTAAGGTCACAACATTTTAAAATTCTGAAATAGAAGTGTCTATTGTCTTAGGTGTATTACAATTATGTTTTCAAATATTTAACATAATTCATTAGTGATGTTCAAGTGCACAACTTAAAGTGGCACCTTGAGAGCATGGTTTTAAGGTCAAACTATGAAGAGTCATATTTAACATTTCATGTAGGTATTGATCCTATGTTGAAAAATGCTTTCAACAATGTGAGGTAATTAGTTTAATATGCCACAATTGAGAAGGAAATTTAAATTGCGTGAAAATTTGATAATATATTCCAAAATTCCACTAATTCTGAAATAACTTCATCAAGTTTAAACGACCTGAGCAATGTATACCGAATCAACACTGTATTAGCCTGAGATATATAACAAGTCTAAAAAATAAACTTTCTAAAATATGATATATGCTGAGAGGATTCCTTTAATGATAAGAACCAAAACATATACATAATCCAAATTGCTCAAACTTATTATAATGTTACACCTATTATATATAAAGCTATCATATAAATCGTTTTACACTTTTAAAATGACTGTTAAACTGTATGTCTAAAATTGTGGTTTTAATGTAAAATGTTGAGTGATTTATGTAAGTGAATATAAATCTGCAGCAGTAAATTTTGCATTAATGCACGGATCTGACAATCCAAGGGAAAGAAAATGAAGTAATCTGCCAGTAAGAAGTCCTCCAATCGGGGGTCAGATCATGTTCATGGAAACCATCTGGTTGGGACCCTCTGAGCCACACCAAACACAAATGATCTTTTAAAAAAATATCCTATTCATTAATGCATCACAGCTGCACTGAGTGTTACTTCATTTTTCCATGGCAACATCCTTTCTGTTTCAAGGATCTAATTTCAGTTTTGGTAGCAACATGTTCTTTTGCCAATACTGAACACATTCATGTGTTAAAGTGAAGGGATTATTACAAATTCTTGAAGTAGAACCACCTCTATTTTGATTCCTATTAGGTCAAGGGTTACATATCTAAGTGAGATATACTAAGGATAAACCAATAAAGTAGAAATTATTTGGTGTTCTTATTTTAATAAATGAAAAGATTGTCACGCATTTTTTTTTCTGAAGTTTCAAGTGCCATTTGAAAAGCTATGTGCCGTTGTGTTCCCTCCGTGCCCCATATGTAAGGTTTGGTAAACTGGGATTTTTCTAATTTGGGGACTCTCTACCTGTAATCACAACTCAGTTAAAAAGAAGAGACTAAGATAGGTTTCTTTTATACATTAATATAAGCATTTTAACTAGCCCACTGTCTATCATATAGAACACTTCATAAAAAAATGCTTTAAAATGTTGTACCACATTTTCTGCCCTTTTAAATAAGGTTGCTATTTCCTATTCCCAAATAACATGTTTTCCTTTTTTTAAAACTTGAAACTTTAATGATAATTACACTATTTTGCAAAATTTCTACAGAATGAAATGTTCTCTGTATCAATGTATTTTATTCTTCAGGAAACAGTTTCAAATAAAATTTTAAAATGAGGAAACACTGCAGGTTGCATTTTCATTCATTTTTCTTTTCTTCATGCATTCTTTAATGTCTACCATGAACTGAGCTGAAAGTCAGGAATACAGAGACAAAAGACATAATCTTAGTGCTTAAAAAACGTGAAACAAAAGGGTTTTGAAATACTAATAGCCTTACAGAATTTTCACTAGAACATAAGGTCTATAATGCCAGACACTTTGCCTATTTTGTTCACTCTACAGTCTTAGGACATAGTACAGTACCTAGCATGTAGTAGGTACTAAATAAACAATTATTAAATAAATGATGTTAATAAAAATAATTGTTTAATGCGTGTTGTTCAGCATTTCATTCCACGGAGACAAATTAGTAGGGTAATTAATGAAATTGACTTGTCAGCTAGATGGGTTCAATTCCAGCTGTGGAACCTCTGACAAGTTACTTAATCTCTCCATGAGTTCAGTTTCCTGATCTGTAAATGGGGGAAAACTGGCTTTGACATTAAGATGTAACACATTAACTGCCGCCTAAATGTTTGCTAAATAAATAAAGTCAGTAAACATACACTGACTATCTATTATATGCCAGATCCAAACATTAGCCCTCATGGATTTATAAAAGATATTCACAGTCCTTTTATTGAAAAATGCTACTGCTTATGGTTTAATGACCTGTGTATACAGAGCCCACCAAAACAAGCACTATATTAATTGCACTATAAAATATGTCCCAAATCACAGTTTTCCTATGCTACAAATTCTCAATACATTATGAAATATATTATGAAAACAGTTTAGCTATCTTCACATGTAGTAGAAATCTAAAGATACTCAATTTAGGGCATTAGTTAAAAACCTCAGAAGTAAACCTTGGTTCTCTTCTTTTCCAGAGTAAGTGTTATAAATCTCCACGCTTTCCCCATAAAAACTTGTCAAGGGAAGACACGAAAAAATTCCTAGATTTGTATTCCAGACTTCCTCCTTCTAAAAACTACCATGATATTGCTGTCACTTTCTCAATGTCTATAAATAAAAACATGGTCCTATGTGCAAAATTTTAAGCATTAAATGTAAATAATTACATTTACAATTAAGGTGATTGACAGTTGCTCTGTGTAGCCTGAAATGTCTGTTCTTCAGAAGACTTCAGAAACTACAACAGGGGCCGGCCCAGTGGCGTATTGGTTAAGTTTGCACACTCGGCTTCAGTGGCCCAGGGTTTGCTGGTTCAGATCCTGGGTACAGACCTACACACGGCTCATCAAGCCATGCTGAGGCAGCATCCCACATAGAAGAACCAGAATGACCTACAACTAGGATATACAACAATGTACTGGGGCTTTGGGGAGAAAAAAGAAAAAGAGGAAGGTTAGCAACAGATGTTAGCTCAGAGCCCATCTTCCTCATCAAAAAAAAAAAAAGAGAGAGAGAGAGAAACTATAACAAACACCCAGGAAATGCCACTGGACAGCAACATGATCTTGAATGTAAAAGACAAGAAAACTGAGTTTGGCCAAAACCAGGGTAACACTCTCCTTTACTAGTGAATTCCAGGCCAGAGTATTCCTATTTTGTCAACTGCATGCCATGGCCAAGTACGTGCTTCTGAAATAAAAACGTAGCTTTTTGAAGTTTAATAGACAGGATCTTTGTTGATAAGAGAAAAGCTGCAAAGAATAATGGAGATTATGCTAATCTATTGTGAAAAGGCCCCCACACCAAGTTCATATTAAAAAAAATTGTTCAAGACTACATATAGTACTATAAAATAATCCATTACAAAGAAGTGTGGAAGTTCCTTTTTCTATTGAAAACAGGTTATAGCAAATACTGTCTATGTCCTTATGCAATGGTAGTCTTTCTATCATAAGTGAAAAAGAAAATGGACTTAGCAAATACCAACTTTGGCTCCAAAATCAACTTTCCAGAAACTCTGATTCTAAACACATTTACCTGCTCAAACTTCCACTAAAAGAATAATCCTTTGATGGCTTTAAGTTATGATGTTCTGTTTCATCTGACGGCAACTTCAGGTTTTTCTGTTTTACATTTTGGTTCATAAAACATCTTGGAAAATGGAAACTAGTTTTAAAAAAACTCAATTTTAGGGCCTAGATTTTAATCATTTATTCAGAACGTAGTTTTATCTTGAAACTTTTTCAGAATACATTAACATCTGGAAATGTTTAAATATATAGCATGTATAACACAGGATTGGGACTAAAGGTGAGGCAAGCAAGGTGCCTAGATAATATTTAAAATAAGCTATACAAAGATGAATCATTTAGTACTAGTGTAATCATGTATTAATTTATACTCAATATGCTTAGTCAAATGAGGAACATCAGACTAGACTGTACACTTAAAAATGGTTAAGATGGTAAACTTTATGAGTATTTTACCACAACTAAAAATAAAAAAAGAGGGGCTGGCCCAGTGGTGTAGTGGTTAAATTGGTGCACTCCACTTCAGCGGCCAAGGGTTTGTGGGTTCAGATCCTGGGCACAGACCCACACACCGCTCCTCAAGCCATGTTGTGGCAGTGTCCCACATACAAAATAGAGGAAGATTGGCAACAGATGTTAGCTCAGGGCCAATCTTCCTCACCAAAAACATTTTTAAAAAAATAAAAGAAGAAAGAAGAAACAAATTAGGAACATCAGTATCTCTACTTATAACTAATCTATAATGTCATATAAGATTAAGTTCACTGTTGGTAATAAAGCTAATGAAGGTACTGCATCATTATAAAACAAGCAAAAGAACCAAAAGAATCACATAAGAATGCCAGAATTGGAAATAGCCTCAAACATTATTTAATCTAACCATTTCACATAGCAGATTAGTGAAGTAAAGTCCATAGTTAACATGCAGTTTTGATACTGCTGACCATTGGCTCCTTGAAATTCTATACATCTTGGCTTCCATGAACTCCCCAGCCTTTCCTCCTATATTTTGGATAACTCCATTACAGTTTCCTTCCAGGACACTTTCTCTTCTACTAACCACTTGAGAAATGGTATTCCCTTTGCCCACTGCTCTTTCAACTTAATATGTTTTTTTTTTTAAAGAAGATTAGCCCTGAGCTAACATCCACCATCAGTCCTCCTCTCTTCACTGAGAAAGGGTGGTCCTGAGCTAACATCCGTGCCTATCTTCTTCTACTTTATATGTAGGATGCCTGCCACAGCATGGCTTGATAAGTGGTGTGTAGGTCTGTGCCCAGGATCTGAACCCACAAACCCCAGGCCACCAAAGCGGAGCACACGAACTTAACTGCTACGCCAAGGGGCTGGCCACTTAAGATACTTTTTGAACGACCCATTCATAAAATGTCTTATGTCACTTGGAATCTTAAATTGGAAGATTTTCCTAGAGCTGTCAAATGCTCACGTAACCTAATACTATTTTCTCATCTCGTTACACAACTATTCAAAATGATATCAATAAAAGGTAATTACACTAAATTAGTCCATTTGTTTTGTGAAATGGATAAAAGAGAATGAGGTTACTTTTAATATAACTATTAATATCATCATGAAGTAACATTTAGGACCAAAGTAAACTTCAAACTGCTAAATATTCTTGATAGCTATTATATTCTAAATAATGCTATGATGTCATCTAGTTCTTGTACAAATCAATAAATAGTAATCAAGGATAGTACCTAAATTCATCATGAACCAGGCAGTGCATACCCTGGAAATCCTTCAAGTAAATGGCATTTACCTTGATATCCCCATTTCTCTTTTGGATCTTAAGAGTTTTCTAAAAGATGTCTCTAAGAGACGTTCCCCACAAGATGCTTCACAGAATGGCTGTTTGCCTTTTTCCTGCTAGATCAAAAGAACTATTATGTTTCTTTTGTCTTCTTAGTATCTAGCATGATATATAAATAAAACTAAGTGCTGAATGTGAGAATGGATAAAAGAATAATAAATGGGGGGAAAACAGCATTCTGTAATGCATTACTACATAACTAGCAGTTTTAAAAAATAAACAAGCTTACACTAGGGTATTAAAAGGTTAACATGCTTATGATTATTCAGTAAACACGTATATTTTAACAGGATGTTTTTAGAAATGTGATATTTGTCAGAAAGGATATAAGGAATTTCAGAAAGCCAAGGAGGGTATATTAAAGGGCAGTGGGGCTTTGGAGCAATCCCTTAAATGATAGTCTACATTATTCATCAACTCCAGGACTATCCCTGAGGAAAGTACAAGGCAATTAATTTTAAAAAGACACATAAGCTCCAAGAGATCTGCTATATCCACTAGAGTAGAACTTTTATATATATTTCATGCATATGAAATGAATGAATGCTACAGAAGCTTATTTTGGTATCAAAGCATTTTCACTAGAATAGAGAAGGAAAATAGCGCAAAAGAAGAAAGGAATTCTGTTGCTTAGAAGACAAAGCTGTAAATAAGTTAGCTTTGTCAAAAAAGGGCAAATTTTGTGTTAAGAGGTTAGACATCAAAATTCACGGGAGATACTGTCCATTAAGATCTATTTTAGAATAAATAAGTCTCAGAAAAGACACAAAGAAAAATATACCCTCCTGCCAAAGTTCTTAGTTCCAATTTAGTGAAACCAAAATACCACAAACTCCTGAATACAGCTGGCTTAAGGCAAGGTGCTAAAGAAAAGCACGATATATAAGGTAATATGCTAGAGAGAGATCTGATAATATTTGCATTATCCCTTTTTCCATAAACATTATTTGTGTCAAGCCATAATTCAGAACTTCAGATTGTACTATAATCAGATAAATTCATTATTATTTATGCAATCATTAGAGTAGAAACACGTGCTCTTAAGTAGTTACTCATCCTAACTACTTACTAATCACTTTAGTATTTACGTTATTGATACTAAATACACCACAAATTACCTCTTTCTAGATGATTACTAAAATAATATACAATAAGCTGATGGGTAGTATTCATCATTTCTTTTATTGGTGACTTCAATGGTAGAAACAGAATGCATTAAATCAGTAAAATGAGAAGAGTGCATAGGTCAGTAAGGAATTATGTAGAAACACAAGAAATAAGAAAGAAAACTTCTCAAATTTATGTTCTTGTGACCACACATTAGAATAAACCAAGAATACAGACTGAGTTTAATGAAATTGAGAAAGAGAATACAACTGAGAATTACCCATGTACCATTCTCATTCCCATGAATAATGGGTCTCCCCTGAGATTAAAAATTTTATCATAAGAAAAGCTACAAGCAATGAAGTGAATAAATATAAATAGTCATCAGGAGCACAAACACACATAATCTAGTTAGCTCTACCACGAAGGAGGGCATGGGTAAGTGTTTAGAGGAGGACTGAGTGATACACAAGGAAAACCATCATAAGGAGACAGAGTTTTATATAGATTAAAGAGACTAACACTGAACATAAATGTTTAGCAACATCTTGAAAGTACTGTGTATTTTCTGCTTCTACAATCACAGACAATGTAAAGGCACTAAATGTTCCTGCATTCATGTTGTCTCATCTGTCCTATCTGATGCCCCCACAGCATAAAAGGAAACGCTACAGGAGGAGGATAGGTGAGTCAACACAAGCAACAATAGGGTAATATTAATAGTAAAAGGCCTCATCCTGACTGAGATTGGTGAGACACAGCTGGTATCTGTGAAAAAGTCATATTTCCGGCCAACTAAGAGTTAAAACAACAACAAAAGAATGACAAGACATGCTCTCTGTCTCCCACTCTTAATTTTCTTATAAGCTGCCTGCTCAGAAAAGACAGGCTGTAAAGGAATGCCAAAATCCAGGTTACTGACTCTTGTATTAGACAGCATGTATTAGTCAATTAATCACATTCACTGACTGATACTAAGCAACTAGAGCTGTTTGTAGATATATTTCTAAAAACTGTCTTTGTTCTGTGTTTTTTTTACTGAGGAAGATTTGCCCTGAGCTAACATCTGTTGCCAATCTTCCTCTTTTTGCTTGACAAAGATTCACCCTGAGCTAACATCTGTGCCAGTCTTCCTCTACTTTGTATGTGGGTCACTGCTTCAGCGTGGCCGGCAACAAGCAGTATAGGTCCATGCCTGGGAACCAGACCCAAGGTGCCAAAGAAGAGCACACCAAACTTAAGCACGAGGCCATGGAGCTGACCCCTAAAAACTGTTTTTGACAGGTAAGTGTTCATTATACTGATCACACTATATTATAGCCATGCATAAGATGTCTATATCTGTCTGTATTAATTTTCTATGTTGTGTAACAAATTATCACCAATATAGCAGGTAAAAACAGTACATATGTATTATCTTGCAGTTCCTGTCGATAAAGTATCCTAGCATAATTTGTACATCATCTACCTTGCTCTTGTTCTTAAAGTGGGAGCAACTTTCCTTCACAATTTTCTACAACTTAAACAGAAGTGAAAGGCTCCAGTACTGAGATATTACTGTCCGGTACAGACAAAATTCTATAAAGATGCCTCTAATATCAGTCTTTTACATCATATTTCAAAGAGGAAAAATTCTACACAAAAACTTAAAACTTAAAAATTGCTGAGTTACTTTTACCTAAATCCTATGAAATTAGATAAGCATTTAATTGTGTATTTTCATCAGGTAAAATATGATTGGGGAGGAGGGTAATTCAATAAGATTAAATTATGTGTACTTTAAAGTGAAAATAAGTGTGAAGAAAATTTAATAACAATAAAATAATTTTCATATTTAATTTGTGATTAGGTATGGAAAATAAGTAAGTAGATAATCCTTTTAATTCCAACTAAGATTTTATCTCAGCAGTGAGAGAAAAATGTGAATTATATGGTGAACATTTAAAATCTTTTAAATAATGCTTAAAAGAAACAAAAAGTAGAATTAATTTTTTTAATTCAAGGAACATCTCAAAATTTGTGTATTTTTATAACTATATCAGGAATAGCATATAATATGTTTCATATAATTTTGTTAATAATATACAAAGTGCACCAACAGTTTTCATCTAAATTATGGAAATGAGATAGTATACATGCATGTTACTAGTGAGAAAATTAGAAAGGATGATAGAAATTAAAACCATGATATTTTTAACTTTTATTTTACCTGCAGTGTGAGACTCTTTACCGCATTCCATATTACTCCAATAAATTCTTTCATTCTTTCTTCAGGACTTCTACCTCCTTCAGATATATTCAGCATGGCTTTAACAGGAACTGACAATGGTCTGGATTCTAAGTATGAGAAGAACTAGTTATTTAACAGAAATGTACCTTAGAGTTTCACAAATATATACAGAAAATATTTTCAAGACTATTTCTTTCCTCGCTTAAAATTAAAACTTTTATATGAGATTATAAAATATCATATTACATTGTTTTATCTTACACAATTACTGATAAGCAAAACTAATCTGTTAAAAGTCAGGAGCGCACTGGTTACTCTTGTCAGGGATAAGTGATTGGGAAGTGGATTTGTGGAGCAAAAGTAATGTTCTCCATGTTCACTTTGTGAAAATTCATTATGTTGTAACCTAACAATCAGTCCATTTCTCAGCATAAAGTTAATACCTCAATAAAAATTTTACTTGAAAAAAAGGAAATTCATCTACAAAGCACTTGATTCATCCAAAATTGATAGGAAATGGGTTTTCTCATATGTGAATTTTCCTGATAACAAAAGCTGATGTAAACAATTTCTCAATTTTAAAAACTGATTTTGATGGTACCCAAAAGAAATATGTCATTACATAAAAGAAAAAGTTATACAGTAAAAAAATCAAATTTTAAATTCCATTCTCTACTGTATTTATTAAAAATTTTGCTAATTTAAAACAAACTAGAAAATTAATTTTATAATGTAAAATCCTGCCACAGTTCTTAGTTGCAATTTAGTGAAACCAACAATCATTTCTTAGGCATGCACCAACCAACTTGATATCACCTTATTCCTTCATTTCTGTGCCATGGAAAAAGCACAGTACCAGAAGTCAACTTGAATTAATACTCTAGCTGTGCCACTTGCCATATGATCTGGGGAAAGCAATTCAATCCAAGTAACAGAAGTTTATAATACTTCTATCTAAAGTCAAGAATACTATTCACTTCAAATGTTTTAATGTACACAAAAACAGTTCATGAAAGTACTTCAAATACAAGGAATAGTGATCATAAAAATTAACTGATTATAATGTATAGAAACAAACTTGAAGGTTACTAGATCTGAAACACAGTTACCCTCCTCTTCTACCACAATCAACCTATTGCTTTTGTTCTACCTTAAATGCCATTTCCTCTGAGAAATGGTCACTGATTTCCCTAAATTAGACTTGGTCCTTCCTCTCTAATCTCACAGAATTTTGACATAATTCTGTATAATATATTTAATTCTTCATGGTATAATATTAAACATTTGAATATTTGTCTCTCCAAAAGTAACAGCAGACCATAGTGATATGGTACAGCAGTAAGTGGGAGTGGTTAATGGTGGACCTTGAAGATACATTCTGGGTTCTACCTCCTACTAATCTTACTCTTCCAATAAGAAATAACGTTTATGTACGTATTTATTAACATAACACCAATTAGACAGAGTTGACTGAAAAAGCCTAAAGCTAGAGACCCCAAGACACAGAATTAAATGACTATATTTTTTGTCTGTACATATCAATCAATGATTTATATCAGACCATTCCTTCACCTTCTTATGGTAGAACTGGAACCTGGTAACAATTACTCAATGACAGTATGTTAAAAACCTCTGTTCTTATTTTGAAGATTTGAGTAATAATGTCATTGGTTAAATGATAACTTCTACAGTATGCATGAACCAATGGTACCAAATACTGACATTTGATATCGAATGGCTTATGTTCTTGAAGTTCAAGATTCTCACAATAACAGGGTTACTTCATGATATGCAAAACCAAAAAACATCTGTTCAGCTACAATAATAAAATTCAGTTCTCATAGTAAGTGCTTCTCAGAATTAAGTCCTTTCTATTTCAGGTTTTTAACATCTGCTGTGTAAAAGCTTATAGAGGTGCTATCGTAAAAACAGGTCCAGTTTAGTCCTTGGTCAATAGGGAGGATAACTTCTAATAGGAGAGTAACAAAAAAAAATTCCTATAGCAATTTTTCCTTTAAACATAAGACTTCTAACAATAAATTTATATGTTTATGCACTTTATTCAGTATAGTGCTGACACCAGGATAGTATTCATTTCACTGAAAGGACAATTCAGGTTTACTTTGTCTTTTTATTTCATGTAGCACCTTGAAATAATATAGTATTGATAAGTAAATATTAGTCGAATCAATCAATCACTATCTTTTAAAAAAGAAAAAAAGTCATATGTGTACCTTCTTAAAACCATTCCTTAACAGCACATTATTTGACATTTTTTTTAATGAGTTAATGATAGGTTACAATCTTGCGAAATTTCAGTTGTACATTAATGTTTGTCATTCGTGTTGTAGGTGCACCACTTCACCCTTTGTGCCCACCCCCCACCCCACCTTTCCCCTGGCATCCACTAAACTGTTCTTAGTCCGTAATTTTAAATTCCTCATGTGAGTGGAGTCATACACAGATCATCCTTCTCTAGCTGGCTTATTTCACTTAACATAATTCACTCAAGGTCCATCCACGTTATTGCAAATGGAATGATTTTGTTCTGTTTTGCAGCTGAGTAGTATTCCATTGTATATATGTACCACATCTTCTTTATCCATTCGTCTGTTGATGGCCACTTAGGTTGCTTCCACGTCTTGGTTATTGTAAATAATGCTGCAATGAACATTGGGGTGCATAGGATATTTGGGATTGCTGACTTCAAGCTCTCTGGATAAATACTCAGTAGTGGGATGGCTGGATCGTATGGTAGTTCTATTTTTAGTTTTTTGAGGAATCTCCATACTGTTTTCCATAGTGGCTGCACCAGTTTGCATGCCCACCAGCAGTGTATGAGGGTTCCTTTTTCTCCACAACCTCTCCAACATTTGTTACTATTAGTTTTAGATATTTTTGTCATTCTAACGGGTGTAAGGTGATAGCTTAGTGTAGTTTTGATTTGCATTTCCCTGATGATCAGCGATGATGAGCATCTTTTCATGTGCCTATTGGCCATCCATATACCTTCTTTGGAGAAATGTCTGTTCATGTCTCCAGCCCATTTTTTGATTGGGTTGTTTGATGTTTTGTGGTTGAGTTGTGAGAGTTTTTTATATATTATGGATATTAAGCCTTTGTCAGATATATGACTTGCAAATATTTTTTCCCAGTTAGTGGGTTGTTTTTTTGTTTCAATCCTGTTTTCATTTGCCTTGAAGAAGCTCTTTAGTCTGATGAAGTCCCATTTGTTTATTCTTTCTATTGTTTCCCTTCTCTGAGAAGGCATGGTGTCCGAAAAGATCCTTTTAAGACTGATGTCAAAGAGTGTACTGCCTTCGTTTTCTTCCAGAAGCCTTATGGTTTCAGGTCTCACCTTTAGGTCTTTGATCCATTTTGAGTTTATTTTGGTGAATGGTGAAAAAGAATGGTCAATTTTCATTCTTTTACATGTGGCTTTCCAGTTTTCCCAGCACCATTTGCTGAAAAGACTTTCTTTTCTCCATTGTATGCCCTCAGCTCCTTTGTCAAAGATAAGCTGTCCATAGATGTGTGGTTTTATTTCTGGGCTTTCAATTCTGTTCCATTGATCTGTGCACCTGTTTTTGTACCAGTACCATGCTGTTTTGATGACTGCAGCTTTGTAGTATGTTTTGAAGTCAGGGATTGTGATGCCTCCCGTTTTGTTCTTTTTTCTCAGGACTGCTTTAGCAATTCGGGGTCTTTTGTTGCCCCATATGAATTTTAGGATTCTTTGTTCTAATTCTGTAAAGAATGTCATTGGGATTCTGATTGGGATGGCGTTGAATCTGTAGATTGCTTTACGTAGAATGGACATTTTAACTATGTTTATTCTTCCAATCCATGTACATGGAATGTCTTTCTATCTCCTTATGTCGTCATCCCATTCTCTCAGAAAGGCCTTGTAATTTTCATTATATAGGTCCTTCACTTCCCTAGTTAAATTTACCCCAAGGTATTTTATTCTTTTTTTGCGATTGTGAATTGTATTGTATTCTTGAGTTCTTTTTCTGTTGGTTCATTACTGGAGTATAGAAATGCTACTGATTTATGCAAATTGATTTTGTACCCTGCAACTTTGCTGTAGCTGTTGATTACTTCTAACAGTTTTCCAGTGGATTCTTTGGGGTTTTCTATATGTAAGATCATGTCGTCTGCAAACAGCGAGAGTTTCACTTCTTCCCTCCCTATTTGGATTCCTTTCATTCCTTTTTCTTGCCTGATTGCTCTGGCCAGGACCTCCAGTACTGTGTTAAATAAGAGTGGTGATAGAGGGCATCCTTGTCTCGTTCCTGTTTTCAGGGGGATGGTGTTCAGTTTTTGCCCATTGAGTATGATGTTGGCTATGGGTTTGTCGTATATGGCCTTTATTATGTTGAGGTAGTTTCCCTCTACGCCCATTTTGTTCATAGTTTTCATCATAAATGGCTGTTGGATCTTGTCAAATGCCTTCTCTGCATCTATTGAGATGATCATGTGGTTTTTATTCCTCAGTTTGTTGATGTGCTGTACCACATTGATTGATTTGCGGATGTTGAACCATCCCTGTGTCCTTGGTATGAATCCCACCTGATCATGATGTATGAATCTTTTGATGTATTGCTGAATTCTGGTTGCCAAAATTTTGTTTAGAATTTTTGCATCTATGTTCATCAGTGATACTGGCCTGTAGTTCTCTTTTTTCGTGGTGTCCTTGTCCGGTTTTGGTATCAGCGTGATGTTGGCCTCATAGAATGTGTTAGGAAGTGTTCCATCTTCCCTAATTTTTTGGAATAGCTTGAAAAGGATAGGTATTAAATCCTCTCTGAAAGTTTGGTAGAATTCCCCAGGAAAGCCATCTGGTCCTGAGGTTTTATTCTTTGGGATGTTTTTGATTGCTGTTTCAATCTCTTTCCTTGTGATTGGTCTGTTCAAATTGTCTGCCTCTTCTTGAGTGAGCTTTGGGAGATTGTAGGAGTCCAAGAATTTATCCATTTCCTCTAGGTTATCCATTCTGTTGGCATATAGTTTTTCGTAGTATTCTCTTATAATCTGTTCTATTTCTGCAGAGTCTGTTGTTATTTCTCCTTGCTCATTTCTGATTTTGTTTATTTGAGCTTTCTCC